GACCCTCCGGCACTTCAAGCCCGGAGTGGGTCAGCAGTTCTCCATCCCAAAGGGCAAAGGCAGGCACTACTGTACCCCAGAAATCTGTCTGTAGTGTGTGGAACACAGTGACCCGGCTCACATCCACCAGGCTCAGCTTCTGGGCCTCGTACTCCAGCAGCAGGCCCACCTTCTCTGACTGTCCAATGCCCTCAGTAAGGACTTTCTCATTGGTCAATGTGGTGTGCCACTGCGCTGGGCATTGGCGAACACCCAGGAATAATCGTCAACCCGATGCAGCTATCCCGAAAGATGTCCACATCTGCCACTCCTATCCGGAATTGCTGGGAGCGCTTCACTGTCACTTCCTAGTAGTGTCTGCCATTGGTGACGGCTGTGTCTGCCAGCACCACTGCCCACTCCCGGAAGCGCTCTACATTCAGAGCCAATTTGGTGGGTTCTAATCCCACCATGCCATATTTGACACCAGTGTCACCTCTGAAGAGTGCCAAGCTGCTGTGGGCGGTTTTTTCTTCCAGTTTGAAACTGATGCCTCTGCGGTCATCAGCGGCAAAAATCCCCAATTGTTTGGCTCCCCAGAGGCACAGACACAACGAACACGCTAAGGGCAGTGCCATCTTGCCCCGCCTGGTTTCAGTTTTCAAAAGGTCACCACAGGGCCCCTGAGGAGACTAAAATGAAGGAGCAATGGTGGAAGCAAGGATACCCAAAAGGAGACCATTGCATAATCCAGGCAAGAAATAATTGAACTCTAGGTTAACGTGGTGGTATTAAGGATAATGAGACTGAATGAAATCAATATATAATTTGGAGGTAGAACCACTGAAGGACTTTAATCAGTTAGTCTGTCAAGAAGAGTTTATTGTCCTGCTATGTATCAGGCATAGCTCTAGATGCTGGAGTTATAGTGGTGGACAAGACAGGGTCCACCACTGCCCTCAAAAATTTGATAGTCTGGCAGGAGGAGTTGAACAACAGACATATAAAGAAATAAATGAATTAATTTTGTATACTGATAAATGTCACGGAGAAGAGAAAATATAGTAATGTAATAGATGACCAGGGAGGCTGCTTACCTTTAAAAAATATTCTTGAGGTAAAATTTATATAAAACAAAATGCATCCTTTTAACCATAAAGTGTGATGAGTTTTGATGAATACACCTATGTAACCACCACCTGTCAAGATATAGATCATTTCTCTCCTCCCAGAAAGTTCCCAGGTGCTCCTTTGCGGTTCACCCTCCCTCATCCCTGCTACAGACATCCACTGATGTGCTTGCTGTCACTATAGGTTCGTTTTCAGGCTACTTACTTTTAGAAAAGATCATTCTTGCTGCCATTGGGGAATGAGTTGGAATAAACT